CGAGATAGAAAGATCCTACGATTATAACTGATCTAACCTTTGTAAGACTACTTGTCTGGAAAGTCTATTCGCGATCTTTTTACTGTTTCTATTTTAAAATAAATACAGTTGTGGCTGTATTTGGCAATAATTCGTCTCAACGGGACTTTACCTATCTGACCTATAATGCGCGGCTAGACGACGTGGCTGTCCTTATGATTGGTGCTGATTCAGTAAAAAGTTAACGTTTAGTCTCACAAAATACCTTTACAATCAGCCCAAAGTCCAATCTAACTTTCCTATTTTCTTACTTTTAACGATCTCTCAAGTCTTAAAGGGACAAATTGAATTTCGCTCCTGGCGCTTTCTAACGGAAAGGAAACGATTTCCAATTAAAATCAGTTTCCATAAAGATGGGCGTCAAACTAAGCATGTTGAATAAAGTTTGAATAATCAAATTTCCTGTTTTATGAAATAACTGATTGAATAACTAGAATAGACAACTTCTTCGATGGCAAAGAGAGTTTTCTTTTTGGATACTTAGATGATTTTGACTGCATTTTGCTTGTTTAGTAATCGTCAGGTCGAACGTTGAGTAAGAATTTGAGTTGAATAATTTATTCAAGTAACATACACTCTGATCCGACTGAACCATGATCATATTCCGTTCTTTTCCTATACAATAGGTTTATTCACATTGACATTCAGAAGCAACTTTGTGATACTTTGATAATGATGGTATTTTTAAATAAGAATCAAAACGCTGAAATCCTCAATTTCTTGCTGTGAACACTATCCTTGCACGAGGGAATTAACTTTCACATTCTTAGTATTAGCTGATGATCTACTAATGCTTAAATACTCTTCAGCAGCTCCCACTGAATAGTTTTGCATCGCATTCCATAAATATCTCAATTGCCTCTGACAATCTGTCATGTTCGAGCTGACAAAATATTGTTACTGTGTAGCAAAACATTTACAATTTGGACAGATGGATGGATGGTGTTTTCTATGGAAAAAATCACTATTTAGCCAAAAAGTATTGTAGAAACCAATTGCATTATTCACTGCAGAGTGATTGATTCAGTGGAAATTGCTATCTACCTTTTCAACGACTGGGGCAAGAGGATGATTGCGACGAAGGCGCGCAAGAAAAGAAGCAGCTGTGACTTCAAATTCTTCTTCTTCCTCTTTTTGTTTTGAAAAGCTTTATTATGCACAACTGTAACATTTACAAGATTATAAGCATCTCAGGTCCAATACACATGTATTTCAATGGAAGCAATATAAGTAATAAAATCCCTAAAGCCAAGTGCAAACGAAACCGTAAACCTTTGCAAGCCACGGCGAGAGGCAGGGAGGCAATTATAGGTTTAGGTTAGAGAAACAACACTCGGTTTGGATTTGTCGTGTCACACTTTTGTGTACACTACTAGAGATCCGTTTTGGTGGCTGTTTCTACAAGTCAATAAAAAGTTTTTCTGCGTAGAAACGAGGTTACTGTTGACAAGCAAGCCTTTCGTACCTAGCTAGAACTTCACTATAACGATAAAAATAGCTTTTACCATAATCTTATCAAAAAATCTGAATATTATGGCCTGCCTGAGTTTGATCCTAGACTAACAATTTAAGTGAAGCTAAGATAAAACATTATATAGATATAATAAAAAATATATTTATCACATATTGGCAACATACAATCCATCATTCTAAGAAGCTACAATTTTACGTCATATTTAATAAATTTGATTATAAATTTTCACGTTATCTAGACTTAACTAGAAATTCAATCAACGGGAAAGACTCAGTCAAACTTCGTATAAGCAACCACAAACTCATGATTGAAAGTGGAAGATATGATCAAACTCCCCATAACGATAGATTCTGCCTTGTTTGCAACTCTGGTATAATTGAAGAAGAATTTCATTTTCTCTTGCACTGTCCAAAGTATTCAATCCCGGGGGAAAAAATTCTACAATCAAATGCAACATGATTTTGTCTTGCACAGAAGTAATAATTAAACTAACGAATTCACAGAATTTTTCTCCTAATTCACATTTGTTAAAATTTATCTCATTATGTAATGATTTACGTAATAATTTGTTAACAAATCATACTGATGACACTTGATTGACCGTTGTTATCATTGCATTGTAATCATTGTTTTTTTAATTGGCTTATTATCCCTTATTAGTTATTAGTATTAATAGCTAATTAATTATTAGTATTAATAGTATTATTATCTTAAAGCTTTTGCAATCTATAACTTCATATAGTCATGCAAATAATTCTTAATACGTTGTTGTTGTTGTTGTTGTCCTCCTTGCTGTAACAGCACAACTACGACGTGAAACTTCCTAATTTTACGCTTAATGACTTACAAAACAAAAAAGAGGTCCCCTTCTTTCTCTTCTGGAGTTATGTACAGTCAGTTAGAGTTCACTTCGAAAAGAATTTGCCAATATATGACAAACTGTTCAAAGTTATCGAATTTAAATGGTAATGCTCTTTTTGCGTCACTCTTATTCTGCCAGTTGGTAGTTTCGCACATTGTGGCCAGCGCGAACAGCTTCAAGTTTTTTTTTCATTTAACAATAAACTAGCCAAAAAGACCTAATTCACAAAGAACCCGTGGTTGTAGAACTCCTTGTAGTTTTTATCCCAGAAACATTAATTGACCCAATAAAGGGTCGGTAATAAGTGAAATTTGTATATCATTTTGGTGTTTTTAGGTTGTTTACTACCATGGCAGCATCTACTGGCTACATTATACATAAAATTTGTAACCTCCACGTTACAG